TGTATGTGTCCGTGAATCTTTGCCTCTCTCTGTAACTGGAATGGACCATTGGTAATAACCTTATTATTGTTGTGTGTCTGAGTGTGTGTGTGAGAATGTGTAAACGGGGCATGGCTTGTGGCCAACCAGATGGCGATATTCCTGGCATCGTCTCACTTAGCTAATAGCCAGACCCTTCTCAGTGAACCCCAGCTGTCTCAACCGTAGAATCACAAAACATGATACCCATCAGGAAGAAAATGTGTTATGGCCCATCTTTGCATTCCAGTGGAGTACTGGAGGGATTTTACATTTGTCAGGTTAAAAAATAAGTTTTCTCCATTTGCCCTGCTGCTATTATAGAGACTCAAGCTGTTAACGACATTGCGTTCATACATAAAAGATCATGAATCAAGCAGATGTGCATTCTTCAAGTTCACGGACACATCAGGATTTTGTCCTTGTCCGTGTTGAGGTTAAGGACAAATATTGGCCGCATCCAGGCTCCTGGCTTTGCTTGTTGTAGATTACTTCTGAGCCACATAGTCTACCCTGGGTTATCACATCACCTGTCTAGACCCACTTTGCAGCTCCTTCAGAAATGAGCCACTCAGACCTGGAGTTGATAAGAACCCTAGGCCTGCCTTTTGGCTTGTTTTACACTCGGCACTTTGAGACCCTGCGACGATCGGGTAATTCCAGATAAGCCACCTCAATTCACAACAGTTGTTAGTCAAGCATTCTTCTTAATCTGCCAACTTCAAAGCCCCAGCCCCAGTAGTGATAACTGTATTAAGACTCTTGACCTCCAGATTGCCATGTGTGCAGCAGAGCTTTTGAGGTGGGGAGCAGCATCCTTTGTTTGCTTGCTGCTGAAAAACTCCCTCTGGAGCTGAGCATTCAAGCTTGGCCAAGCCAGACCCCGCTGCCTCCTGCGATGGAGGGAAACTTTGGCCTGCAATTGTGAGAATTTCCTGCCACAGGAAAGGAGAGGAGAGAAGGCCGAGCAGGATTGAAATAAGAAGAGAGTTAGGGCCGAAGAGACCAGGTTGAGAGCAAGGAAAAGGGCAGAGAAAAGACAGATCATTTTAGAAGTCGATTGCGCTGGGCAGTGAGTAAAGTTAAACCCAAACTGGCAGCTCACCAGGTCAGCTTTGGCAAAGTTCCAGGAGAAAAGCCGTTTATGATCCATATAAAATCTCTATTAGCATTGGCTTTGCTCTTTTTAGTAATAATATCTTATCATTATCGCTCTCATCTTTCTTTTCCACTGAGGAGGAGGGTATCTTACTGTGTTATTTTTGCTTATTCACATCAGTTAGAGCTAGTGCTCGGCCATCTTTGAATTCCATCTGAGGGGATTTTCCTGGTCCACAAAATATGACATTTAGAGGAAAATGTTTTACATTATCGGAGATTATTATCTTTATTTTCTTTCTAGTTATAAGACCAGTTTAGTCTCCGACCCACCTGACGGACGTGTTTCAGACATCCTGTGTGACCTCTTAGCCGTACCAGCAGATCTGTTCAGTGCCCAGGATCACATCTCAATGTATCCAGCTGTTAATTGTGTCAGTTACACTCAAAGCCAATGAGGCTACAACCATAAATGGTAACATGAGGAGAAAGATGTTGTTTAGCGTAGTGCTGCTGATGTCTTATGCCTCCTTTAGTCCGTTGCATGAAGTCACTGGGGTCAAAAGGCCCCGAGGTCTGGTGCATTGCTTTGCATTTTGGAACAACAAAATGTATCTGTTTCTGCTTAGATTTCAAACAGTTGTTACTGCATGAACAAACTAAATCTGAACAAGCAAATCAATGTGTGCTGAATGCGCTGCTCTTTATAGTCAACTGTTGCATAAACAGTTTGCCAGGACATGAAGTACTTGCAGTACTTTAGTAATGTTGGTTTTGAACTGACTTGTTTCATAGCTGTAATCAGTTGTCCTTCAGCCAACTTGGCACATATAGACTAAATATCACTATCACTATCAACGTAATGTATTTCATTATTCTATGACTCTGTGGTCATCATATCTGGCTTTCATATTTGACTGGTTATAAGAGCTTAGTGTAAGACATACAGTACATTTGTCCAGTGTGGTGTTGTAGCTGTCTTTAGCCATGAGGACGTTTGGTAAGCAAGCACACACAATCACCGGAGCCAGTGTTTGTCTTGGCTGCCTCCCCGCCTATTATCTGGCCAGGAACAAACGAAGGCAGGGCCTTACAGCCGGGTGGTCGGCGGCCACTGCAGCGCCGCTCGGCTCTCTTCCTGTGAGGGAAGCAGGAAAAGGAAGTGAGGTAGTTCCCTGGCGAGGGCTAAGGAATTGGGGTGGACAGCAAAGGAAGACAAAAAATCAAATACACCCACGAATCTCAAGTTATCAAAGCAAACCTATGTAAGGGAGTAGGTGAGTGTTGTCGGACAACATTTTTATCAGCCTTGGATATTCTTGTAAACCTCTATTAAGGCTTTGTTGATCCAACTGTTATAAAGGTTCCACATATACAAGACTGTATTTGTGTGCAGCTCTATTGTTAGGTTGTTTGTGCCAGATGCCCCCTGCCCCTGTCCATTTCCTGCAGCCAAACAAAAGGTAAAAAAAAATTCTTGCTTCCCTATTTGAATGAAAGGAGATACACTGCAGTGCAGAGACTAATATTATTCACTTGTATCCATCTGCCTGGTGAATATGGTTGTCATTATTTTTGTTTTCAAGGCACACCCAGTCCACATTATGTCACTCTAAAGTAGATTTGACACACATTCTAGCCAAATTGTGTGTGTCACTGGATATCTTCCCTCCAAAGGATCTTAATGAATGCCATAGCCCTCTTTTTGGGGTTTGGGGGTGGAAAGCTAACCACGTGTTTGTATGTCCAATTTGCATTTGAATAGCTTTACTGTCTTTTGAGTGGTTTGTCTTTAAACATGAGGTCAGTCTTTGCAAACACACACTGACTAGCATGTGCACACAGTCAAACACACTTTGATACACAAGCAAACACAAGAATCTCAAGCTATATGCGGTGCTTGCTTCCAAGAATGTTGGTATAATTACCCCTTGCTTTTTACGCTTTTCTAGGTTCACTTCGCTCCAAAAATAGTAGGCTCAACACACCCACTAGACACAGCTTCTGAGAGATTTCACATCCACAAGGAAAAGTAGAGCTCATATGTCAAATAAATCAGTGTTGAAACATGGTTGTAAATGTGTTACGTGACACTTGGGTTCACGCTGATGTCAGAGTGGTTGCTTTTGGAGTGTTTACCCCTGCAGTGGCAGAGGGGAGACCCTGTCTTGGTCGGGTCACGCCTTGTTGTTAGTGGGTTTGTCTGCCATCTAGGCTTGTTGTTGGTATGTAAATGCTCATATACGGTTGAGCCCAGATCCTTTGCAGCAGTAGTCTACTGGTGACCTAACTGTCTGTCTTTCTGACGGTACTTTATGGTTACATTTCTTTTGTTTAAATAAATTCTCCCTTGATGGTTTCACTTTATTGGCATTCTTTGTAAAACATTGTTATTATCTCTTTAATTCTCAATCAAGGTACGCAAACAGTTTATTTAGTATTTTTTGTTGCAGTTTGTTCTTCTGTTATTAAGCTTGGGATAAATAATCTAACTATGTATTTTTGCAATTAAGCCTTGAAATAAGGTGGAACTGCTGGTGGTATAAAATAATAAAAATAAACTTCTCTGCATCTTTACCGCTAGCTACTATTAGCTCAGTCACGATCAGCCAAACAGAGCACCTCCAACGGACATTACTATAAATGCAAGGATTGTAGAATTTTGAAATGGAAACTTTTAACTACCCTGCCTTCATTTCAGACTTCTAACACAGTTCTCACATTTTAAATGGGATTAGCAAGTATAAAGCTTGCATGCTTTGCATTCTTTCTCTATGTGTGTCACTTTCGTCCATGGTTTACCAGTGCCTTTCCTGCCTTTGTTACACTGCTTTTGTTTAAGTCTTTCTCAAGGTTGTGCTACATTTGTACTTACTGTCATTCCACTAAGGAGAAGATTGTAAAATCAGATCCTTAAGGCCTGGAGACATCGTTCTGTCCGTCTCCCTTTTACTACAAACTGCTGTCTCTGGGGGTGATGGGGCAATTAGGGAGGCTATGGTTTGGGCAGCCATTTGGTACATGTCATCTAGGTTTTCACTAATGATTGGGATCACCATGGCTCCTCTCACATAGTGGACCTCAACATGCAGTCAGTAATTAGCACAACAAGCACAAATGTCACACCTTGTGTTTGAAAAGAAAGTATGGAAATGTGTGTCCAGCAGTGTTTGACAAGCACTCTGAACATGTTTGACTTTAGTAATGACATTGATGGAGACTTACAAAACATGCATCTGATATATAATTGTAAACTCTTTCCTACATGCATCTCAATCAAAGACCGATGTAACGGTTGTCCTTTTTCATATTGGCATCATGAACAAACAGAAGCTAGAGGGCAGCACTGCATTCATAAAACATGATATGTTGTAAAAAACGTTATCTCAGATAACAAACAAGAATTGTTAAATAGCATATAGATATATCTTTGGATACAGTTGTGCCATTTAGGAAAAGTCTTCTTGCAGATGTTTTTCTGTTGGAGATTTCTGTGTGAACAACAAATACCGCTTTACCTGGATAAGGAGCTTAAGTGGCACACACTCGGCGTGTGAAGGGGTTAACACAATTTGCACGAACGATGCTTTAGCTTTAGAAGCATGTGAGATGAGAGTGACCGCTGCAAGATAGCTGATAAGGTCAAGAGGTTCACATTCGATAAGCTGCTAGCATGTTGGAGTGCTCAGTTCCAGAGTTTTGTCTAACTTTGATATATTGAGAGGATAACATTTTTCCAAACTTTGTTTCAATTGAGGCTTTAGTGAAGGAAAAAAAGCTTTTGTTTTGAATGCTTTTATTACAAACATTGATTATATGTTTTATTCAGGTCTCCGTAACAATAACTAATGTGCGTTTGTTTTCTTCCACTTTTTCCTATGCAGAAATTGAAGCCAAAGAGGCTTGTACCTGGCTCCGAGCAGCAGGGTTTCCACAGTACGCCCAGCTGTATGAAGGTAAGGACCCCCGTGAGATACCCCCAACCTCTCTTACGGCCTACTTGGCAATAATGAAGATACAAAATGTATGCTGTTATTAGGGAAGCCACAGTTATACGGCAAATGGTGACATACAGATTTTAAAAGCTATGTTATGACTTCAGTTATTTCAAAGGCTTTCATTTAACCACACTACCACAATCTTAACTGAAGTCGGTTCGGCAGATTTACTAAAGTAAGGTCATCAATACAACTCATATTCCAGAATTATTATTAATTTGAAATCACATAAAAGAAGAACCTTTCTATTTGTTTGTGTAAAAAAATAGTTGTTGCACTACCAAATTGTGCACTTGTTTGGTGATGTTTAGCTCATCTAGAAGACCACTGTTGCGTTAGTCAAGAACAAAAAACACCAACATGCACACTTGTGCCTGTGCATGCTTACATACCACATACATCAAAACATTCCTCAGGAGTAAGGGGTGGGTTTTTCCTTTGCACAAGTGCTTTACTTTTTCTAGGAGAGAGCCACATTAACCATAGCAAAGAATATTCCAAACGATAACCAAAATGTATCATACAGAGTAACTCTTTTGGGACCGAGGGTCTTTCTTACCTTGTTAAAATAAACACAAAACATGTCTTCTATGCCCTCTAAAGTTACTTATCCAATGATATATGGTTAAGAAAGAATGCCTTGGCTGATCTTTGAGTTTTAAATAAACACACTGAAACACATCAAACATTCTTTACACTCCATATAACTTCAACTATACTATGGCATGCCGTAGGTATACCAATTGCCCTCATGTAACTACATGACGATGACAGCAGGGCCAAGGTACCATTGTCAACAGGTCATTGCTTGTTGCCAATTAACCGTGAAAGGTTTCCTATTGGAACGGAAGGCTCTTTGTGTTTTTACACAGGTGATGAGACTGTTTCTCTACACACCAACAGCAACACAAAAGTGCAAACGGCAATCAATCACTGTGCAGATTTTAAACAAATCGCTGGTTGGTTATGCAGCCGTCTCCACTAAGTAGGAATTTGTGCCGAGGCATGACACATTTTTCCTTCCCCTGTATCGGTGGCACAATCTCTATTGTCTGTGCTGTCAGGACTATTGCCCCACTAAAGATAAGCAGACTGATAGGCCGGAATCACTACAGTAGGCTTAAAGATCTGCCGTCCCTTGAACAGCATTTTCTTATCAACACCGCCCCTCGGGGCCACAAATGCGAGATTCCTATTTTGGGTTGGGTCCACACATTCCAGAAAACATCTTAAAACCCATTTATTTAAATATTCTTTATGATCCAATGATATTACGTGCCATAACGCTGCAACTGAGTAAATAAGTGACTCTGTTAATGAAGTAGAGAAGGGAGGGAGAAGGAGAAAAGGAAGTGGGACCTCTGAGCAGCTCTGGAGTACCTATTGTCATTCTTCAATCAATCCCCTGTTCTCTCCCTCTGTGCTCCACATCCCCCCTGCCTGCCGGGTCTGAAAGCTGCAGCTGTGTTTGTTTGGTCGGCTAAGACGCTACTTCCTCTTTTAGCTTTTCATCAAGGCTGTATGGGGGGAGAAGGTGGGACGGAAGGCCCTGGTGGGTGTTAGGCTAGGGGTTGTATCTTTAGATTTATCTGAACACATTGATCCAATCAGCGGCAGGAAGATGCCCACACTAACCAGACCCTCTCTGTTTAGATGCCCTGTTCCCCATCGACATCTCCTCAGTCACCAGGGACCATGACTTCCTCGATCGAGACGCCATTGAGGCTCTCTGCAGGTGAGATTACAAGTCAACCTTTCATACGTATTTTCTCTTCTTTTGATCTTATGCGCCTTTCTTCTTCTTGTAAATCGTCTTCCATCTCTTGTTTTCTCCCAAATGAAACCATGAGGGCATGACTTCAAAAGGAGGCATGCTTTGGAAAGTGAGATAAAATAATGACACGATAAGCACATTGAAGAGATGCACTGTTCCGTTTCCCTTTGCATTGAGCTCTCATTGTCCATATCTCCTGCTCCTAGTTTTCTTCAGTCTTTGATAGTGTGTGCCTCAGTCATTTTGTATCGTCCTGGCACGCACATATCTCACTCCTACCTTTGACTGCAGCATGCTACGGTCACGCAACGCCCTCTGCAGTCTTTCTTTTCATCTTGTAAGTTGTTTTAAGTCTCAGACATGTTAGTTAGTCTATGTTTAAAATACCTTAACGCCATGAGTATCATTGAAAAGCACTAGCTTGCGTCCTACTTGGTGCCCCAGCTATATGAATTAGCATATTTGCAGAAAGTTGATAGCTACTTAATGGAGTCGACTTCATCAAATACTGACTTTCAGTAATAAACCACAGCAGGTGTCCCCCCCCCCCC